GTGCGGCGGGGGCGCGTCTGGGCTGTCCCGCTGCCCGCATGCTCTATGGCTTTGCTCAGCGTCTCCCTGGGCTTCCCCCCCAGCAGACCCGGGAGACGCGGAGCAGCTTTTCTTGCCCCGGAGGACGCGGGCGGCGGGACCGCGGCGCATCTGGGCGTCCCGCCGCTCGCGTCCTCCGGGGGGAGAAAAGCCCCGTTCGTAACTGCGGATCCGCCATAAGTTGGATCCGCGTAACTCGGGGACTGCCTGTATATCAATGAATCCCAGTGCCAAGGGGTTAAATCAGTAAGACTTTGCTTGCAAATTATATAAGGTTGAATGTTTATTTTAAAAAAAATCCAGACTGCCAGCATTTGTGTCATAAAAATCCCACCTACTGTTAAAGAAAAAAAGGGCATACTTGCTGCCCCTAGATAGATCAAAGGAAATCTCTTTAGCAGTACAGGAAGGGTTTCAGAATACTTTTGCATAAAAATCTTAAGGAAAAACAGACTTCTATTCATGAACAGTAAAGGATTATCTAGCGACAAAGATATCCAACTTTTATCCTGTATCCCATTTCTTTAGATTCTGTAGCAGAATGCCATTTAGCTTTGACTAGCAAGCCAGACTTGCCAGTTCAAGCCATTGCCTGTAAATGATTTAAATAGCTGTATTCTGTACTTAAAAGTTGTGTCTTCTCTTATCCCTCATAGAAACAGAACCAAAAAAAGGTTTTATTTTGACCCCTTGTTTCCAGTGTTCTCTGGATCCTTTGGTGCACTTTGAATCAAGTCACATGCAGTCAGTCAGACAGTCATGTATCAATAATGTAAGCATCCAGAACATGTTAAAAGGATCTTAGGTTTAAGTTCACTTTTACTTTAGAAATGCTGTGTATTATATATCTATGGGCAGTTGAGGTTCAAGTGGCTAATTAGATTAGAATTTGAAATGTCTGTTAACTGCAGAGAATTTCTCACTCTTAAGGTGACAGCCAAAACAACAGCTTTTAAAGTTGGTGAAAAGGGAAAGAAATTGCAGTGACCTATATTGTTCTCTTGCCACACCCACTGCTGTGTGACTAGGGCTATGTAAAAGTTTACCTAGTAGCTCAATTGTTGGGTTGCTATGGGCATTGCTATGTAATGGTGCATTAAATACAAATAAGGGCTAAACCTTGAGGCCCTTTCTTGGAAATAAGTCTCTATTTAAGGAATCTTGAACCTCTGAAAGTTTAATTCTTCTGACCTCTTTTGACTAATAATTCTGGGAGCCAAATTACTCTTTATTGTAAAACACCCATTGCATTTTAATATGCCTTAGTGGTTGTGACGGTCATTGTTGTTCTTATTATTTCATGTTTAGACTGCTAAAATAAGCTCTGGTTCCCTGAGATTTGCTTTATGCTCAGATGCTCCCTTGGCCAAGTCACATACACAGGTCACAAATCAATCACCCTAATCCTACATATCCTGATGCAATCAGTTTGAGCAGCATCCTCAAACACAAAGACCGAGATCAAGGAAAAAGAAAGGGTCTCAGCTGGAAGGAAAGAAATAAAGAGAAACCATGGGAAACATGCTTTTTTTTAACTCAAGGATTAAAAGCTTTTCTGCAAGAAAAGGCCCTGCTTGGATAAAATTCTTTGATACTATCAAGGCCCGTGTTCACGAGGTAAATTGGAATCTGTTTGAATAAGGCCACAGGTATAATCTGAGGGGAAAATATATTTAAAATCATGGGTTTATTATTGGGATTTTTAATATACTCTTTTGTATTAGCCCAGATAAACTGTATCTTGTTGAACAAGCTCAAGCAGTGCAGAACTAATTAGCTGACATCAAAGAACTTGTTTTGGTAGTGGTTAAAGAAGAAATGAGCTACCTAAAGAGTATGATTTAATTCTAGGAACTAAACAGGGCATGACTGAGGGTGAACTGTTATTTACGCAAAGCCTGACATATCCTAGAGGAAATTGCTAATGTATCTTAAGCTTTAGCTAGACCTACTTCTATCATAATACATAGTGTTCTTAAACCATTTACAACAATAACAAGAGCATATATAGCTATATTTTTATGCATGTAGTTTTCTCTTCAAATAAATTTGCCCTTCTTCCAGCAGGGGTCTAATTCTTCTCAGATATACTCCTGATTTGAAAGAGTAACTTTACCTAATAAAAGGAGCTGTAATGATGTAAAATGGGTGTGAGGTCCAATTCACGCGACAAATTTTTCAGCTATTGAAGTCCACACTTGTTTTACATTAACTGCTTGCATTACGCAAGCATCTGAATGCTCTCAACGCCTATTGATACCCCTGGGATATAGTGGCCTGGCACCTCTCAAAGTGAGTCCCTGGGGGCATGTCTACACAGCAGTGTTATTTCGAAATAACAGCCGTTATTTCGAAATAACTGTGCTAGCGTCTACACAGGCCAACTGCTATTAATTTGAAATAACAGAGGGCTTATTTCAAAATTGGTAAACCTCATTCCAGGAGGAATAGTGCCTATTTCAAAATTTCTATTTCAAAATAAGCACTGTGGAGGTGCTTATTTCGAAATAGGGGGCCTCCAGCCCTTCCCAGGGTGCCCTGGTGGCCACTGTGGGCACAAACAGGAAAACTCCTCTCCTCCCTCTCCCTCCTGGAGCCCTTAAAAGGGTAGAGTCTGACTACAGTCTTTTGTGGCTAGCACCAGGCCTGCCAGCCCAGAGCCACTCTGCTGCTGCCCCAGAGCCAGGCCGCAGCATGAGCCAGCAAGCCACTGGCAGCCAGCCCTCCACCGCTCCCCAGGACCAGGCTGCCAGCTCCCAGGAGCCCGCCAAAGAAAAGGAGGGTGTCTGCTTGATCCAGTGTAGATATCAGGGACCTCATTGAGTTTTGGGGGGAGGCCTGCAACATCCATAATCTCCGCACTAGATGGAGGAATGCGGGCGTCTTACCACCACATGGCTGCCAGCCTGGCCACCAAAGGCCACATCCGAACCCAGGAGCAGATTTGGATGAAAACCAAGGAGCTGCAGCAGGCGTATGCCAGGGCCACAGGGGGCAGCTCTCAAACAGGGGCAGACCCAGACACCTGCCCCTATTTTGCTGCCCAGGACTGCATCCTGGGGGGCGGGACTGTCCGTGCCCCCCAGATGGTCATCAACCCTGGGGCAGAGGGCATGGAGGAGGAGGAGGAAGGCCAGGAGCCGCAGGAGCCCGGAAGGAGCATGCCGCGCAGCCAGGGCCCCCGAGCCGTCCCAGCAGACCTGTCGCCGGTGTTGTCCGAGGCCAGGGAGGCAACAACATGTGAGTGCCATCACTGTCCCCTTATGCGGGGGTGGGAGAAGACAGAGACCTGGGACCGCTCACGTGGGCCTTGCTGGCCACAGCTCATGTAGCAACCTGTGCATGTGCCGTGCCACCCCTGGGCACGTGGCCCCAGCTGTATGCTACACAGGGGCCGTGGCCTGTTACTCACACGCATGTATGTATGAAGGCACATGACATGCTCCTGACCCCGGGGCAGGACACAGCAAGGTGCCCTCCCTCCACAAGCCCCCTCTACACAGAGGCAGTGGACATCGCCCCCCCCACACACACACAGACCCACACAACATACAGCACAGGAGCATGGGTGCGCTCCCGGGCCAGCTCCCACTCCCAGGGATAGTAGAACATCCCAAACATGGCCTCTGTGCTAGCACATCAGCTCTGATGGTACGGAGACCTGTCATCCTCGCCTTGCAGAGGGGGGCTGGATTTCACCCCATGTCCCCAGGGATAACTGACCACTTCTCTTGTTTTTCTACAGCTGCACCAGCTGCAAGTGCAGGGCACACTACCCCGCCCAGGACATCCTCCTGCGCCCGGGCACTCAGCAGGCTGACCCATAACCAGGAGGAGTACCAACGGCAGCCCCTGGGGATACTGCGAGGCCTGCACCGCAACCTGGACTGCTGGGTGCACGAAGACATGCTGCTCTGGCGGGAGAGTGGGTGGGAGCTGCTTGCCCAGGGCCGTGCCATCTGCGACCACCTGCAGACCCTGGTGCAGAAATTTCTGCCTCCTGCCACTCCAGCCACTGCTGTCTCCCCAGCTACCACTCCTCCTCCCATGCCTGCTCCCCCTCCCGCTTCTTCCTCCATCACTTCCCCTCTCCTACCCCTGGGGACGCCGAGTTCCCCCAAGCCCTGATCTCTGAGCTTCTCCTCCCCCTTCTTCCCCTTGCCTCCCCCTTCCAGCTCCCTCCTCCCAGGTTTACCCATCCCTTCTCCCCCCTACACTCCAGTTTTGTTCAATAAAGAGAGTTTGTTTTCTGCAACACATGTCTTTATTATATATCAGGAAGGGGGGTTAGGGAGAGGTAAATGGAAGGACGTGAGGGTGGAATGAGGCACAAGCCCCCAGTGGGGCACAAAAGGGAGACTTTAGTCCTCCTCCAGGTGGAAGCTCTCCCACAGGGCCTCCTGGATATGGACAGCCTCCCGCTGGGCCTCCTGGCTGGCAGCCATGTGGGGCTGCATGTACAGGCCAGCCAAGTGCTTGGCATCTGCCACCCAGACTGGCAGGAAAGCCTCCCCCTTCCTCTCGCACAAATTGTGCAGCACACAGTACGCTGCCACCATGTGCAGAATAGTCTGCTTGGAGAGGTCCAGGCAGGTGAGGAGGCATCTAAATTGGGCCTTCAGCCAGCCGAAAGCACCCTCCCCCATGATGCGGGCTCTGCTGAGCCTGGCATTAAATGCCTATCGGGGAGGGTTGAGGTGTCCTGTGTATGACTTCATGAGCCAGAATTGTAGAGGATAGGCCGCATCACCCACCAGGCACACAGACATGTCCACATCCCCAACCCTGATGTGGTGGTCGGGGAAGAAAGTCCTGACGTGCAGCCTCTGGCAAATGGAGGAGTTGTGATACACACGTGCGTCGTGTGCTTTGCTGGATCAGCCCACCTTGATGTCCACAAACTGGCCCCAGTGGTCAGACACAGCCTGCAGGATAATGGAAAAGTGTCCCTTGCAGTTGATATAGAGGGAGGCCTGGTATTCCGGGGCACAGATTGGGATGTGTGTGCCATTGATAGCCCCCCCACAGTGGGGAAGCCCAGGGCGCCAAACCCCTCGATGACCGCATTGACATCGACAAGGTGGATGACTCTGTGGAGCAGCACTCTATTGATAGCCTTGACCACCTGCAGAGGAACACACAAAACCGAGAGTCACTGAGGTGCCAGGGTGGCTGAGTGTGCTCCTTCCCCACCACTGCCCCGCACCCCCCACTCTGCACGAGTAACCCGCCCTGCAATCCTGGCCACCACGGGCAGTCTGTAGTGAGGATGGGACAGAACAAACCCTCCCGTGGAGGGGACTTGCACCACCTCCCCCCCTTTTCCCTAGGGCAGCCCGTCCCCTCCTTGCACCCCTCCTCCTGGCACTGTGGCCGGAGACTGCCATACTGCATGAGCACTGCGCCGACGGTGGATCTCCCCACGCCAAACTGGTTCCCCACAGATTGGTAGCTATCCGTCCTGGAGAGCTTCCAGTGGGCGATGGCCACACGCTTCTGCACGGGAATGGTGGGCCTCATGTGTGTGTCCCGTCGCTGCAGAGCAGGGGCATGCCACTCGCAGAGCTCCATTAAGGTGTCCTTCTTCATCCTAAAGTTCTGGATCCATTGTTGGTCTCCCCAGCACTCCAGGTCCCACCAGTTGCTGCTGGCATCCAGATGCGGTGGGGCACACTGGCATCCAGGAGTTGCAGCTTCTCCACCACATACCCCAGGAGGGTCCGGATGATGGCCTGGGGGTTGGGCTGCGCAGATGCTGCGAGGCAGCCTCCAGAAAGTGCTGCCAGGCTTTCAGCAACACATCCAAAAGAAGCACCAGAGTGCCCAGGGGCAGCTCTGGCTCCATGTTGCAGAGTGCTGTGGTGTCCCGAGTGAGGGCACTACAGACTGCCCGCGGCAGAGAAAAAAATGTTTTGCTGTCCCTCAGTGAGGTAGGCAAGCAAGCAGGGAAACCTGAGAACCAGCTGTCCAGTGGGGTCCCTTTAAGCACAGGCCTAAGATAGCCTCAGGCAGCTGCCACATAAAGTAACTCCTGACCTGATGCCCTACTGGAACCAGTTTCAGCTGGCCTTAAATGTGATTCAGCATCCACTAAGTGTGGACACGCTATTTCAAAATAGCAAAATGCTAGTTTGAAATGCATTTTGTGTGTAGACACTATAATTTCGAAATAATTATTTCAAAATAACGCTGTAGTGTAGACGTACCCTAGGTGATTATGTGCATCATTTTTGTGAATACATATAATTTAGATGTCCCCCATTCCTACTAAACAGAGATTTTATACTATATGTGAGTACCCTACACAAAGAAAAAGTTCTGATATTCCAATATTCAGATTGACAAAAAGCAGTCATAATTCTGTATGCTATGTCATATGTAGTGTTGTTGTAACCATATTGGTTCAAGGATATTATAGAGACAAGATGGCTGATAGTAAAAGATGTTGATCAAATGAAATATATTAATTTGCCCACATTGTCTCTCTATAATACGTTATATTCAATGTGCTGGTAGCCGTGTCAGTCCCAGGATATTAGAGAAGATGGTTTAGGTAATATCTTGTATTGTGGCAATTTCTGTTGGTCAGAGAGACATGCTTTTGAGCCACACAGAGATCTTCAGGTCTCCAATATGTATTCTAATTATCACAGCTCAGTGTAATATGGACCAGATTGTTTAGCATAAGTAGCTAGCACATATTCTTAAAATCTGGTTGGCATCTTGGAGAGTTCTGCTCATTCTCCACCTCCATCTACCTGGACAAGGGAGGCGACAGGAAGTATGAAAGAACAGTTCTGGTTCTTCCTGTTTGTCTGCTGCAGCTGAGCAATGGAAGGTTTCTTACTCTTCCTTACACCCAGATGTAGCAACACAAGATCACTCACCACTCTGTGTCATCCACAAATATTATCAGCAGTTATTTTATATTTGCCTCCAGATGATTGATGAAAATGTTGAATAGCATCAAGCCTAGTATGAGCTCCTGCAGAACACACTAGAAACATCCCCTGTAGATGATGAGTTCCCTTTGACAACTAGTTTTTTAAATCTGTCACTTAGCCAGCTCTTTATCCACTGGGCATGACCTCTATTGATACTGTATGGTACTGTTTTTTAAATCGGAATATCATGTGGTGCTAACTAAAAAGTCTTATAAAAGCCTGCTAGAACTATGCACTTACCTTTCTTAACCAAATTTATAATCTCATCACAGAAGGAAGTCAAGATATGTTTTCCATATTGACTGGCATTATTTATCTTCTTCTCCCGCTCCCCGCCCTCCCCCCACAATTCTTTCATTATTCTGCATGGGATTGATGTCAGGGTAATCAGCCTTTGCTTACTTTGGCCATCCCATTTGCTTTTTGAAAACTGGCTCAATATTAGTACTTTTCTGGTCATTTGGACTTTCCTGGGTATTCTTAAATGTTTTTTAAAATTGAAATTGGTGGGCCAAAGATTTCCTTTGCCAGCTCTTGGATGCAGGTTATTCATTTAAAAATATTTATTCCCAGAAGATATCGTCCAACAAACTTCTCAATTACAAATGGGCTGGAAAGTATTTTATCAATGTTTTATTTTTCAAATACAAAACAGAAATAATTACCGAACACATCTGTCTAGTCTGCATTATCAAAACAATTTTACCATCTCCATTTAGTAATGATATCCCATTGTTAGAATTTATGACACAGATTCCCCTTCATGGTTTACTACTTGGTATATCAGACAAACCAGACCATCTCTACACCAATGAATAAATGGATACAAATCAGACATTAAGAATGGCAACATACAAACACTAATGGGGGAGCACTTTAACCTTCCTGAACACATCATTTCTGACTTGGAGTTGCTATTCTCAGGCAAAAAACTTCAAAACCAGACTACACTGAGAAACTTGCTGAGCTAGAATTCATATGCAGATTTGACAGCCTGAAAAAATGTTTAAATATAAACATGGAGTGGTTCTCACATTACAAAGGTAATTTACTCTTTATGTACTCTCATTTCCTCATCACTCTTGGAGATGAGTCATGTCCCCTATGATTTCATTAACACAGATGTCACACTCCCAACTTTGTATCCCTTCCTTTTTTTCCTTTTCAGCATCTGAGGAAGTGAGTTGTATCTCATGAAAAGCGTATGCCCTATGCCCTAATAAATTTGTTAGTCTTTAAAGTGCTACTAGCTTCCTTGTTATTTTTGCTGAAACAGACTAACATTGCTGCCCCTCTGTACTCTGTATCAGCAAGTCCTATCTACTTTCTGGCTTGACAAACTCTCTACACCCTAACATGTTGCTGTAATAGTATTTTTCCCTAAAGAGTTTCTTGTAAGGTAACAAATAAAACTGGAGAGATGTGAAATGTATATATTAACCATATGTGAGGAATTATAGATATTTACTGGTATTAATGCCTTAAAGTCTGTAACCAAAGAAATAAAGAGGTTTTCTTCAAGACAAGAGGGAAGGAAGTTATCCCTTTGCCTTTCACGTAAATTAAGTATTGAGTAACCAACATGAGAAAACTACATTAGCATGTAAATGAACAGGAAAAGTCTGGGGGGAGGGCAAAACAATGAGTCCTTGAAGAAATATAAGATGAATAAAAAAAGATGTTTTGTTATCCATTTCTGAGGGAACAAAGAGGTCAGTGTCTGGTGGGTCTCAAGCCATGAAGGTTGGTAGTGTTGTGAGGTGAGGTTAGGGGAGAAAATGCCTTATCATTGTAACCTATTAAGTTTAGTCACTAGAAAGTATAGTAAGCTTTTTCTGTTTCTATTGTTTTTCATTAGCATACGTCAACACTGCATGGCTATTTGATAAGTTATTCCGAAATAGCTTATTTCGAAATAGCATGTTTACACTGCAGGGAAACCTCTAAATTAGTCTGACACAGGCTTCCCTAATGTAGATGTGCTATCTCGATTTAGAGCCCCAGGAGGCACTGGGGAGGAATAACTTAGAATGGCCCTGGTGAGGGGCTATTTTGAAATAGCAGCAGTGGAGTATCTACACACGCCTTATTTCGAATTAGCTATTTCGGAATAGTTGTTATTCCTCGTAGAATAAGGCTTACAGATTTCAGAATAATCCATCCGTTATTTTGAAATTATTTTGAAATAATGGAATGGCTGTGTAGATACACCCTTAGGGTGTGTCTAGACTACATGCCTCCTTCGACGGAGGCATGTAGATTAGCCAGATTGGAAGAGGGAAATGAAGCCGTGATTAAAATAATCGCGGCTTCATTTAAATTTAAATGGCTGGCGCGGGCCGGCCGCCCAGCGCTTTTTGGCGGGCG